AGCAATTTTATTGAAACCTTGTGAATATGTTCCTTTATTTGTACAGAATGAAAGCCCACAAACAATTTTTCAAAATTTTCAAAATTTTTTGAGATATCTAATTAAAAATTTATGTCATTTTTTTAAAAAACCATGTAACTTTTTTTCTTGTTATCCAAATGAGATCAATTTTTTTTTCAAATTTCTCACAAAAAGATGTTTTTTTAAGAAAAAAATAGTTCATAAAAAAAATTTTTTTTTGCCCGCAAAAAAGTCAAAAAAAAATTTTAAATTAATTTTTTGAAAAACTACCTTTTCGATTTCAAAAATTTTTTTTGTACTTATTGCCTATGATATTAAGAATAACTTCTCAAATTTTAATAATGGGACAGCAAGAACTTTGCGAGAAAAAAATTAAAACGTCCCGTGCGGCGCGACGGGACGCGCGTATCTTAGTTTTCCCGTCCATTATATAGTATGCAAATATCTCGAAAAGTACGAATTGTCGTAAAAAATGTTCAAGACAAAAGTTGTTCCAAACAAAAAGATATACACCTTTAAAAAAAATTGGGCCGGGGCCTAATGTTGGGCCATACAATGAAAAAAGTGATTTTCTTAAGTAAGACCACTAATTTTCAGTATCAAATTCGTAATGCCTATGAAATTCTGCGTTCAGACATGTTTTAATTTTTTTCTTGCAAAGTTCTTGCTGTCCCATTATGAAAATTAGAGAATTTATTCTTAACATCATAAGCAATAAGTAGAAACAATAATTTTTGAAATCGAAGAGGTAGTTTTTTCAAAAATTGAATTCAAAAATTTTTTTTGACTTTTTTCCGGGCAAAAAAAATTTTTTTTTTATGAACTATTTTTTTCTTAAAATAGCATCTTTTTGTGTGAAATTTGAAAAAAATTGATCTCATTTGGATAACAAGAAAAAAAGTTACATGGTTTTTTTTAAAAACATGACAAATTTTTAATTAGAGATATCTCAAAAAATTTTGAAAATTGTGAAAAATTGTTTGTTGGCTTTCATTCTGTACAAATAAAGGAACATATTCACAAGGTTTCAATAAAATTGCTCCAATCATCAAAAATTCTTGTGATCACATCCCATGGAATTGATCAGAACTAAATTCTTGAAATACTATAATTAAACAGTTGATTTTGAAACTTACGAAAAACATAAATCCTTTAAAAAAATTTGACGAAGGTGTTTTGCTTATGACGCTAAAGTTACCAACGTTGATTCAACGAAACAACGAACGAATTTTTCGCTTTCAGATTAGTTTTAAAGCCAAGAACCAATATTTTTTAATTGAAACTTCTTTATTTTGGTCCCAAATACATCCTTAAACACTAAAAATTCACAACCAAGGCGGGGAAATATTCAATCTTAGGAAAACAAAAATTCTTTTCGTCGATTCAACGTTGGTAACTTCAGTGTCATTTTTGCTTCGTTTAGGAAATATAAAATTTTCAAATTTATTGATTAAAATAGTTATTTATATCGCTTGAAGTTAACTGACCAATTTCACAATGCTTCATTTTTATTCAAATGGAACAGAAATTGATCAGTTAACTTCAAGTCTTATAAATAATCTTTTAAATAAAAAATTTGAAAATTTTATATTTTCTAAACGAAGCAAAACATTCGTCAAATTTTATAATAGAAGATAAATAATATTATTAAAAAATAATGAGCAAAATCTCACATTTTTTTCCAAGTCCCACAAAACAGTTACAACTAAAAAAAATGTGAATTTTTTTTGAGAACACATTTTCCAAAATCACTTTTGGTAAGTTCCAATATTTAATGTTGAATATTTTTTCAATAATTTAGTTTTTTAAAAAATTGAAACATTTAAGGTTAGAAAATCACATCGTGAACCTACTACTTTAAATAATTAATATTATTAAAAGAAATAAAATTTTTACATTAATATTATGGGTAACGAACTCAGAAAATAGTCGAGTTTCGCACTTATATTACAACTAGTTTTTAGTAAATATAGCCAGAACGATTTTCAGACGAAAGTCAGTGGCCTGATATAAATACTTTTATTTGAATCTTGTAGTGTGTATCGCTTCAAGTATTACGATCATTTGCAAATTTTGTACACGGATGTTTTCTGTTATTTAAATTACAATAGTTTTTGTAAAACATGAAGCACACTGATTAATTGGATTAATTGAAAATTCGATGTATTATAAAATCTGCTACACAAAATTTCTGCTAAATAAAAATTCGATAACTAGGGTTCCGTATCCTTATAGCAAGAGTACGTATACGAAACCCTATTACATTTCCTGCTCTAGAAGGAGAACTATTCGACTAGAATAGTTATGCGTAGAATCTATTAAAAGTATATGAAAAATATAATTGGAATTCATTATCAAGACGATTTTAAAGAAAAACACCATTTTTTGGCCCCTTTGACTAAATTTTTTATAACTCAGTAAAAAGGTGTATTTTTATATCTAGAGATTAGAAATCTAGAGATTACACGTTCTTGATTGAAATTGATTTAAACTGCTTTTTTAAAAAATGTGGTTCTCACCTTTAACTTTAACAATTTTTTGCAAAAAAAAAGTTTTAATTCTGAATTTTGGTATATTTTTATGTGATAATTCAGTTAAAAATATGAAAAACATGATTGGAATTATTTATTAAGGCAATTTTAACCCTTAATAATCTTTTTTAAAAAATTGAATAATTATTTAATTATTTTTTGTATTTTAATGTTTATCATGTACTTAAAAAAATTTTAAACAAAAGTTTTGATGCTTAGAATGTATTTTTGCAAAAAGATTGATTAAAATATTTATATAATAAGAAAAAAATTATTTGAAAAAATACAATTTTCTTTCTCTGATAAAGTTAAATTTTTAGCATACAAATTTTTTTTGTCGAAAAATGTTGTTTCGAATTTTTGAGCAAATGGTCTAAAAAAATTGCGTGGATATTTTTTAAAATTCTTGTGTTCGATTTATTTAGATATTTTGTTAACAAGAAGCGGTGACATACACCGAAAAAACGATATTCTAATTTTAAGAATATTCGAGACTTAAATAGGCGCCACGAATATATTCTTAAATTAAGAATAGAATCTTCTTATATTAAGAATATTTTCTTAGAATCACTTTTTTAGAATATAATCTTAAAATAAGTATATTTTCTTCTTGTATCAAGAAATATACTTTTAGCAGTTTTAAGAATACTATAAACTTAATTTAAAAATAGTAAATACTTAATTTTAAACCAAAATATACATAATTTGAAATAAAGAAAAAGTACAGCATTTTTATTTTAAAAATATTACTTTTATTAAAGTTTTCAAAAAAGAACACAATTTTAATACTTAAAGACAATGTTAACCAATTGTCGAACATTTTTTTCAATTTGGGATCACAAAAACTTAAATTACGTAGATAAGATTAAGAAACGCAATAATATTTTTTTTATAAATTTTTAAACTTTATTATTAAATTATTAAAGATTAACTCATCTAGCGAGTTTTTCCGCAGCCAGGCAGTAACTTCTTCCATTTTTCACTATGATTGTCAAAAAAAAAACACCGACGCGCACGACGACTAGTTAGTCAATGGCGACGCGAACAAGCTAGCAGCACGTCAATTCTAGCGCATATTCTTGTTTTAAGAAGAAGATTTAGTACATAGAAAATATTCTTAAAGTTAGAATCTGCTTAAGAATATTATTAAGAATATTTATGTAAGAATATAACATTCTTAAAACTAGAATATTTTAAGAATATTTTTTAAGAAAATAATAATCTTAAAACTAGAATACCGTTTTTTCGGTGTACATACAACCGGACATTTATTCCTCATGTTAAAATATACTTATATCAGTTACAAATTTTCTAAAATAATGGATTTTAAGAAGTTCTAAAATTGCTTATTTCTGGTTAAAATCTTAAATTTAAATAAAATTCAATTTAAATGAAATTCTATACAAATTGAAAAAAAATGTCATCCGCTGTCGGATTCATTCATTGACGTTGATTTGGCGCACTTACGGCAACGAATTTTAGTTATGTACCTTGTACAGCAATGTTCGCAATGTTTTCATGCTTATGACAACGCAGGGTCCACTGGACCAGCTTCCTGTTTGTCCTGTTTGTAGAATTTCTAGGATTAACTCCTTTTTTCATAAAGATTCAAAGAAATTAAAAAATAGATACTCTGGCTTGCTTGCCCAAGGGTTAAGGAAAAATGTCATTTTTTAGCGAAATTCTATATCCACCTTCCACGTCTAGCTTAGTCCCTTCGACCGAATTTTCTGTAACTTGGTAGAAAGGTATATTTTTATGTAGAGATTATTTTTTAATTTTAAAATGTTATGGTTAATTTTACATATGTGAAAATTAAGTTAATAAAGTAACACTCTGTATCACCGAAGAAAATTATTAAAAATGTGCCTTTTTTACACCGAATTAACCATATCCCCCCTTAGCAAAACAAAATTTTTGGTCTAATAATTTCATAAACTAATTTTCATCACCAAAGGATAGAAGAAAATGATGTTAAATGGGAAATATAATTTTTATAAATTCGGCCGATCACTGTAAAAAGAAAGGTATTAATTTAATACCGACTTCAGGTACGAAATTGTCATTTGGTTCTATTTTGATACCTAAAATCGGTACTGTTTTAGTACTTTGTTTTTACAGTGACCCCTTTGGCAAATATTGTTAAACAACTTCTGCTGCGATGATGGCATAAAAGTCATACCGACAATGCATGCTGTTGCATACTAACATAGTAAGAAAGCTTCTTGTGCAATATTTGCTAGTTACTGATGGTAAAAAGTGTCGAAATTTTGTTCAGTACATGCAATGTTATGCAATAACACTGCAGGACAATATTTCGGCAATAACCAGTTGAAAAATCATGTATTGTACAGGTTATATGGTACAAAGTTAAACCAGAAAGTTTATGGGTATGTAATTAAAATTTTTAAATTCTTAAAAACTAATTATGATTTTCTCATTTTTTAGAAATGCCAAAAGAAAACACCATAACATCTATTAACTGCAAGGATGAAATATCATCAAATTTAATAGGAGAATCATCAACTGCTGGAAAGTCTGAAGATGAATCTGTTGTCACGGATGCAGTTCACGAGCGCTTTAAAGAAATACACGTCTTTTGCAATGACTGTAAAATCAAAGTAATTGGAAACGATATAGAAATTAAGAAACATTTCAATGCTCTACATCCGTCCGACGAATTATGCGTCTACTGCAATAAAAAAGTTTACAGATATTACAGTTTAAATAGCCAAGAAAATACAAAAGAACGAGGATTTGTTTTTCACGAATGTAATGAGTGAAATTTAATTTTAAGTTTTTAGATAGTACAGTAATAAAATATTTTTTTAATTTTGTAATTGCTATTGTATTATTGCTTTCTCATAATTTGAAATTCATGGATCCACCCGGTTGGAAATTCATGTGCATGAACATACACTTAATCATGTGTAAGTTATTATAGTTCATGGAACTTTTAATAATTTGATAAAATGATTATTCGACTTTGTGGAATTCGATCTTTAGAGATTTACGACAAAGTATGGCGACTAGATTGCGCAAATGTAAGTTGAGTGCAATACGTTAGCCCAGGGTTGTAGGCAGACATAATGAATTATGTTATTTTTAACAATTATTACACTGAAAAAACGTTGGGCGAGAGGTTGGCTTTTTATGTTCAACCGTTGGGTTAAAAGTAGGCGAACCACTCACTTTCGTTTTGGGCGAATGTGTCTCCCAATTTAGGAGAACGGTTCGACTTTGGTGGTGCAAATTTAGGCCCAAAGGTGTCGATCACATGCTTACCCTATTATTGGCATAGATGTCGCGCTTTAGTTTCTAGTTTCCAAATTTCCTATGTATGTACTGCGGCATATATATTTATACGCGTGTTTCGTCGAATAATGTGTTTTTGTGATAAGTTATAAATGATTATGGATTTGTTTTTAAACCAAAATAACTTTTTCCATTTACGTGAACTATTCTATACATAAACATCATAGACTTTTATGTCTACCGCTAACCTATAAATTGCATGTTTAGTTTTTCTAAATACAAATAAAAAAATAATATCAAGTTTTTAAGCACGTTTATATGTATCCAAATTATTTGTCTATTTTTTTATTTATACTTTTAATTATCAGACTTGTATGCACACCTAACCTATAAATTGCAAGTTTACTTTTTCTAAATATAAATTAAAAATAATAAAAATAAACTATTTAAATTGATTTATTAAAATATTTTAATTATTATTTAACATTAGTATTTTGATATTGATATTAATATATTCAAATTGATATTTCATTTTTAAAATTTATCTATTTATATTAATATGGAAGAAGTTAACAATCTATCTATTTAATACAAACCCTACCGAAAGAGTGGTACTGGAATGGTACTGAATCGGATTGGCTTGAGTTCCACTTCAGTACCACTACCTGATAATCCATAAGAAGACATTTTTAAAGTACTTTAACAATAGTTTTAAAGGTATATAAGATCAACAAACCGTCTCTCATGATATACGTGTAAAACAGCAAAAAAAACAATAGTTTGTAGAAAATTTCTGTTAAGTTTGGAAATTATATTGCAATCCCTCCTTGAACAATAGATCCCTAGGTCCTTTGTTGAAGGATTAAAATTTTAACCCGAGTTTTATTGCTTAAAAAATTTGTAATTTTAATAACTCAACTTTAAAAAATATATATTCAGATTCGTTAATATTTCCAGATTATGAATATCTAAAATTTACCATAAAATAATTACATTTAAAAAAGTTATAATTTATCTCGTATACCTTAAGTTTGATAAAAAAATGGACATCATTTTTGAATTTAGCTGACAAAGGAAATATCATATGCATAATAATGTATGAAAATAATATAAATCCATGAAAAACAAATATAATATTGAAATAAATATAAAGTTTTAGTTTAAACATATTGAAAAAGCTAGTCGCTTTTCACTTTTATGAGGGTATTAACGGTAACTCGACCCTTTTCGCAGGTAAATTTCCCAGTTCCATTTCAGTACCAAAATGCACCAAATTAGTACTGAGTTGGTACTGAGATCTCAGTTCCAATTTCCCAGTACCAATCCAGTACCACCCTTCCGGTAGGGAAAACTTTAATTGTGATGTAAGATTTCAGTTTTAATGTTAAAATATGCATAATTCACAATGTGTATAAGTACAGTAATGCTAAATTACATATACTCATGAATCGTTTCCTTTTTTAAATCAAATTCCATCCCAAATCTTGGAAAAGCATTTCTACTTTGTTTTGGGCAAACGTGTCGCCCAAATATGGTTTAGATGTTCACAAGAACGAAAGTAGCGCCGCTCTACCACTGGCAAGGCAACTGTTCGTCTAATTTTTTCTCAGTGTACCTAATTGGACTGAATTTTTGAATCACAAACCTAAAAAGCCATACGGCAGCTCTGCCGCACAGAGTAAAAAGATAAATAAATGCTACATTTTTATTGAAAATGTGTTTTCGATATCGTTGGATTTTCTCAGCATGTCAATGTCAATGCAACATAATTCTTATTAGGAAAAAATGGAATGTGAATTTAACAAAAGAGATCGGGCAAAATAATTCTTTTTCAATACTCAGTGTGAGACAATGCTATCTCAAAGTGACTCGCATGATTAAACCCCAAATTTCATTTGACATAAAATCTTTTAACGTAAAATTTATTTGATATAAATCTTATATGACATAATTTTCATATGATATTAAATTAAATAAATGACATAAATTTCATTTGACATAAATGTCATTTAACATAAAACTTAATTGGCATAAACTTCATCTGACATATGTTAAATGAAGTATTATATAATACTTACTTCACATAATTTTAAATTAACATAATTATACATTGACATAAAATTTATTTGACATAATTCTTATTTTACATAAAATTCATATAACATAAATTCAATTTGATGTAAATTTTATTTGATATAAATTTCATTTGACCTAAAGTTCATTTAATATAAATCTCATTTGACATAAAATTCATTTTATGTCAAAAAAGTTGCTTCGTCTGTCCTTTTCCCACACATAGAAGCTTATATGTAAGACAAGGATAGCCAATAGTGGTGTGCAAAAAGCTCGAAACTCGATCGAGATTATGGCGAAAAAATTCTCAGATGTAGTTGTACTTTTTTTCTGTGTAGAAGGGGGTAATGTATTTTAAATGGCACGTATGCCCCTCTACGGTTCAGTCTTCATTCAAAATATTGGCAATAGGTCTTATAAAAATATTTAGCATCAAATAATAATAATTATTATTGTTAAAAATTTTATGAACCGATTGTATATATTTTGATAGAACTTTTTTCAAGGCTTTTTACGGTTTTTCTATACTTTATAGATATTATTGAGGCATGTAAATTATGCGGACATTTATTCTAAATGTTTAAAGAACAGTCAACAAATTTTTTATGTTGATGTAATAAGTAGTTTAGAAACGGTAGAACTTTGAAAAGTGCACAAGGTCTCACAGATCTAGAGTGTATATCGTGTTTAAATAAATAGGTGTGTGTTTCGAGGATTAGTTAAAGACGTTTTTCTTAAAATGACCTTCTTAAAATCGGTGATCTTTATATTGATCAAGAACTAAACCGATATTATTAAAGGAAATACAAATTTTAATATAATTATAAATAAATGTTGTATTTTGATAAATAAACTTTGTTTATATATTCACATACATACGCATATTTTAAAAAAAAGTTTACCAGTCTTGCTGTGGTAAACGATATGTAAAATTATTACTTCTAATTACAGTTACTCCTGCTCCAAAATATGACATTACATAATGCGATCCGTCCGCTGGTTTAACAGACTGAGTTGCTATTAATATAATATCACAAAATTGACCCAGAAATAAAAAACCTAATGTACACAATTTTAATAACCCTAGTGCCGGATATCCAAGATAAAATCTGTCCACTCCGAACATGCCAAGAAATATTGAAAGTAGAAGGGATGTCTCAAAAGAGTATCCATTTCTGTAAAAAAATAATTCAATTAGTTATAATTAGTTCACCTTCTTTTATCAAGTTCTTATTTTTATACTTACGTCCACTTACAAGGAATGGTCTTTTTAAAAGTGTTGTTTTCTGATTCGGAACAAATAAGTCCATCTGCTGCTAAACATAAAACTGAAAAAAGTAATTTTCTTAAGTTTTTTTCTTTGACCGTACAGCAACGCCTTAATTCTAAAAAATACATTTTTTGGTATATGCAGGGGCGTAAGCAGAAAAAAAATTTCATGAGGGGGTTTATAAAGATAAGTCAGAGGTATGTATACTCAGAGGAAGAAAGAGGGCGTTAACCCCCCAGAAAAAACCCGTATTTCTATTCCCTACAGTTGATTGTCCAGAATATTCGGTAGACAGAATTTTCTTAAACCAAATTTTAATTTCTTCAATTTTTTTTATGTTAAAATGTACAGTGGGGTCAAAAATTTTCAGTACATTTCGATGGATTACTTGAAAATACTCGTTTCACTTTAAATAAAAATATCTCTGCAAAAACTGCAGTTAAAGCTGTCAAATAGAGATCATTTGAAAGTTTATTAAGAGGAGGAAATCGTGAAAAAATTTTTTTTACAATTTTTGTTTTTTGCTTTAAAAATTAGTTTACTATTTGTAGAATATGATCGTACATTATTAATCTATAATTTGAAGTATGAATGACTATAGTATACGTTAGTGTAGCACTTCAAATGCTACCAAATGCAATTAACGATGCGCACGAGATCGCTCTATTCTTTCGCTTTCTTATCAATATAATTTTATTAATTGTCATTAGCAAGCACCATAAGCAAGTGATAGTAAATGGTGGTTTTAGTGCAATAATTATTTTCGAACACATAACGTTTTCAGGGCAATAGTTAAAACACTACTTAATTGTATCGAAAACTTTAAACGCGTTTTTCTCAAAACGTGTTTTTTCGCGCACCGTGCAATGCAGCTCAGACAATTTTTAACCGATTTTCATAAAACTTACCAGAAATCTGATTTAACTTGCTATTTCATGACGAGCTGCTTTTTTTAAAAAAAATTTTAAATAATTTTTTTTGTAGGGTCAGTTGGTGTAAATGGGGACAAGAGGTTTTGGAGCTTAATTTACAATTTTATAATTAAGTTCAACGTCAATATTTTAACCTCAGATCACCTGCAAGAGGTTTTGAGTATTGCCAAGCTTTTATCTGGACAATTGGCAGCAAGATAAAAAAAAGTTATCGCTCAATGCATAAAAACTTGAAAATCAAAGTCAAACAGTTTCAGTATTTTGTCTCGCATTTCAAAAAAACAGACTTAAAAATCACACCAAATTTTTTTCTTATTCCTTATGAAAAATATGCTGTCCTCAATTTACACCCAATTTTATGAAATTTTCTAAATTTTGGGGTGAATGGGGACAGTCAGTTTCATGCGTTTAAACCTTATCTAAATTTTTTTCTGTTGCTTAAAGTAATCCTGCGAATGTAAATAACAACTTAAAAAAAATAAACCCGCAAATATTACCTTTTAAAGGAAAAAACTTACGTAAGTTGTAAAAAATAGCGATTTTGTCCCCATTTACCTCAACTGACCCTATATTGTTTATAAAAAAAATTGATTTTTTTAAAATGGTCCCAAAATTTCAAAAAATTTTTTTTTTAATTTTCTGTTTGTCATGCAAAGCGTATTGGTGTATTTTAACGATAAAAATTTTATTTTTTGATTTTGGTTGAGATTTGAGACCAGTATGCTGCACGGCGCAAAACCAAAGATACTTTTTTGTAAAGAAAATCTTGAAAAAGTGCATTTTCACGAGTTCCCCTTTTAAATTTTGAGTCGAATGGACTAAACTACAACGATTTTAATTATATAAATATAAAATTAGAGGTTTTAACTTTCCTGTTTTTTTTTTAATAATTATGTAACTTTAACTCTAATTAAACTTTTTCAAAAAAGGAATTTTTCCGTTTTCAGAATATTTTTGATTAAAATTAACACCAAAGAAAAAAATGTATGCATATAAATTTATACTATTTCAAACCAGAGCACTAGCAAAAGAAGATCACGCGTAGTGCACTTTTGAAATACAATTTACTTTATTAAAAGTACTCTAAATTTAAAATGCTATTAATGCTTTTGAAAGAAAATTTTTTAAGCTTTAAAACAATACTAAGCTTTTTGTCATGGTGTATTTTGTATTTAAAAACTTCAAATCCATATATCTCGAAATATGTCGACTTTATGTAATTTTGATAAAAATTATATATAAAGAAAGCTTAGATTCTCAAGTTTCTACGACCTAAATATGAGCAATTCCATGGGATGTGATCACAAGAATTTTTGATGATTGGAGCAATTTTATTGAAACCTTGTGAATATGTTCCTTTATTTGTACAGAATGAAAGCCCACAAACAATTTTTCAAAATTTTCAAAATTTTTTGAGATATCTCTAATTAAAAATTTATGTCATTTTTTTAAAAAACCATGTAACTTTTTTTCTTGTTATTCAAATGAGATCAATTTTTTTTTCAAATTTCTCACAAAAAGATGTTTTTTTAAGAAAAAAATAGTTCATAAAAAAAAATTTTTTTTGCCCGCAAAAAAGTCAAAAAAAAATTTTAAATTAATTTTTTGAAAAACTACCTTTTCGATTTCAAAAATTTTTTTTGTACTTATTGCCTATGATATTAAGAATAACTTCTTAAATTTTCATAATGGGACAGTAAGAACTTTACGAGAAAAAAATTAAAACGTCCCGTGCGGCGCGACGGGACGCGCGTATCTTAGTTTTCCCGTCCATTGTATGAATACCCGGATCAAATAAGTCGACCGACGCTCGGACGAACGCTCTATTACCAGTCAAGTAGCAGTGACAGCCTGTGGGCGGCTCACTGCTACCCGACTACAATTAGAGCGTGCGTCCGAGCGTCGGTCGAGTTATTTGATCCGGGTATTCATATAGTATGGAAACTTGCAAATATCTCGAAAAGTACGAATTGTCGTAAAAAATGTTCAAGACAAAAGTTGTTCCAAACAAAAAGATCTACTTATTTGAGACCAAAAAATTGGGCCGGGGCCCACAATGAAAAAAGTGGTTTTCTTAAATAAAACCACTAATTTTCAGTATCAAATTCGTAATCCCTATGAAATTCTGCGTTCAGACATGTTGTATAAGTGCCCAAAATATTGGTCCCAATGTCTGGGATTGGGCTCAACATTTTTTGACAAACAAATAAATAAATTTAAAAAAATCCTATCTTAGGGGTTTTTGGGGTCACAGGTTTAGAAATTCGAAGCTAATTTTCAAATTTGGCACAGAGCCAAATGTAAGATTCCACGGCCCAATGTGAGACCCACAGTAAACAAATTATTTTTCTTAAATAAAACCCACTAATTTCCAGTATCCATTTCGTAATCGTTATGAAATTCTGGGTTAAGACTTGTAGTACAAATGCCAAAAATATTGGGCCAAATGTCTGGGATTGGGCCCAATATTTTTGGAATTTGTACCACAAGTCTAAGCCCAGAATTTCATAACGATTCCGAAATGGAGGGAAACTAATTTTTTTACTGTGGGTCTCACATTGGGCCCCCAAGATAGGATTTTTTTAAATTTATTTATTTGTTTGTCAAAAAATGTTGAGCCCAATCCCAGACATTGGGACCAATATTTTGGGCACTTATACAACATGTCTGAACGCAGAATTTCATAGGGATTACGAATTTGATACTGAAAATTAGTGGCTTTATATAGGAAAACCACTTTTTTCATTGTATGGCCCAACATTGGGCCCCTGCCCAATTTTTTGGTCTCAAATAAGTAGATCTTTTTGTTTGGAACAACTTTTGTCTTGAACATTTTTTACGACAATTCGTACTTTTCGAGATATTTGCAAGTTTCCATACTATATAATGGACGGGAAAACTAAGATACGCGCGTCCCGTCGCGCCGCACGGGACGTTTTAATTTTTTTCTCGTAAATATCATTATTCTTAATATCATAGGCAATAAGTAGAAAAAAAAATTTTTGAAATCGAAGAGGTAGTTTTTTCAAAAAATTAATTTAAAAATTTTTTTGACTTTTTCCGGGAAAAAAAATTTTTTTTTATGAACTATTTTTTTCTTAAAAAAGCATCTTTTTGTGAGAAATTTGAAAAAAAATTGATCTCACTTGGATAACAAGAAAAAAAGTTACATGGTTTTTTAAAAAAATGACAAATTTTTAATTAGAGATATCTCAAAAAATGTTGAAAATTTTAAAAAATTGTTTGTGGGCTTTCATTCTGTACAAATAGAGGAACATATTCACAAGTTTTCAATAAAATTGCTCCAATCATCAAAAATTCTTGTGATCACATCCCATGGAATTGCTCTATAGGCTTTTCAGTGATTTCGGAGAAAAAAAAATTAATTACTTATTGATTGAAGTAAATTAAATAATTAATTAATTTATCATAATTCTTCCACAAATCAACTAAATAGTCACTAATTTAGTTGCAATATTTTACTTCAAATCCAACTTGAGTGAAATCTGATCAATTTCGCAAGTTTGCTGGAAGCTTTCAATGTCCCACCCTTTGCAAACTTGCACTGCAAGCTTGAAGCAAGTTTGCAGAAAGTCTTCTGCAAGTCTACTGCAAGTTTGATGCAAGCTTTCTGCAAGTTTTTTGTACACGGAGAAAGTTTGTTCCGAGAGTTTTACTGAACTTAGTTCGGTAAAATTGGGATATAACAGCAGAACGGTAATTTTTCAAGAATTAGTACAGTAAAATGAATTTCATAAAACTGTAATGCAAAAGGCATAAAATATTAAAACACATATATTAGTGTCTCAAGTTCAGTTCAGGAAACCGTAAGGTACTGGCAGTACATAAACTAGAACAATAGCTAAGAATATTAAGGTCCGTTTTTGATAAATCAGAATTGAAATTTCATAAATTATTTAAATTATTAATGAAGAGTTCGGTAAAACTTCAGGCAGAAATATAAAAAATAAATATTACCATTACTGGAAATCTCAATTCATCTACTTTAATGATTCTCTGATGGTTTACAATTTGATACTCACATATAGGAATTGAAACAGTACATCATGTTAACCTTACACCTAATACACGCAACACATTTTTATTTAACGTAATACATACTAAAAGCATACATATAAAATAACGCAATACATATAATCGCTCGCTTTACATTGTTTCAGAAGGTTTGACCTGTCCTTATATATTAACCAGGATTTTAGTTTACCGCTTGTGAGAAACGTTTATAATTTCTTGTAGACTAATAATCAACATAATCTACGTATACGTTATCGTAATATAAACCAATGTTTAATGATTCAAATTTTTCATATATTTACAGTACTAGCTTGTAATAAATTAAAATATCATATCAAGTTTTAACTATAATCACTACAAAAAATAAAAAAAATATTTTGGAAAATTCCTTTTGTGCAACTATATCCCAACTTTCAGTTAAAATTCAGTAAAATATCCGGAACAAATTTTCTCCGTGCAAGTTTGCTGCAAGCAAGCTGGAAACTATTATTTATTTATTATTCAATTTATTAATTAATTAATTATTAATTTAATAATTTTAGATACGAATTCCCTTTAATATGTATTTGGGACTATAGCTGGAAGGTAAAAAAATGTACTGCGCAGCCCTATACGTTAAGAATTGAACTGCGCATCGTTTGTTAGTTTTGCAAAATATACGGTTGCATTTGCAAACTTGCAAAAAACTTTCAGCAAACTTACACTGCAAGCTTGCTGCAAGTTTGCAAAGGGTGGAACATTGCAAGCTTGCAGCAAACTTGCAATGCAAGTCGGTTGGAAGTTGGCAGCAGACTTGCGTGCTATCTGGGAAGTGTTTTTCAGATTTTTGAAATGTAAAAAAAGAAAAAAATTTGTTTTTTGTTATTTTTTTAAAAAATAAAATTTATAAAGTAATTTTTTCTCTCTTTAAAGTGTACCCAATAAAGATATGAAGGGTGCGCTGTAAGAAAGCGTTAAAAGCAAATATTTGATACGTTAGTTTTGCATGATATTTAACTGAATGCTTTATCGTATAATATACGCTTGAACGAGTAAGAAAATCTTGTTTGGACAAAGTTTCTGATAATTGTAAACAATCTTTTATTGTAAATTAATATCAATAGTTAATATTTAGCTCCAAAAGCACCCTTTATATATAAACGTATTTTTCATTACTTTTAAACTTTTCTTGAAAAAATTGTTAAAATTAGGCCTGTTTTTGACGTTCTAGAGTGGTTTAACCTTATAAAGAATTTCTTTTATTTAAAAAAATTATTTGACCCTGAAAAATTAAATTTTTTTTAAATTTCAGATCTTTCCATGATTTCTAAAAACTTTTTAAAATTCCATACCTTTAACCGGAAAAAATTGACACCACAAAACAAGTTAAACTTTCATAGTTCAACCTCTTACACAATTTTTATTATTCCCCATTGTAATTTTCTTTAAATTTAATAATATACGACAATTTTAGACACTAAATACCAGAAAAAAATTGGCAATTTGAAAAACAATGTAAATATAAATGGGTTAAAATTTTCCTCATCCCTCCTCTTAATGCTTGTAAACAATCGAAATTGTGAAGAAAGTTTCATTCAGAAAACATCAAAAACTTTAAAAACAATTATTATTTATGGATAAATTAACAAATTAAAAAAAAACATTGGAAAAGAGCATTTTTTGAATATCTAATTGAAAATTAAACATAAAACTTCTGCGTTTAAATAATTTTTTTCAGATTTAGATAGTTTTTAGAAAAAATTTTTAATTTAAAGAATTTTTTTAACCTGAAACCTCGTTCGACTGCATTGTTTGGAAGCATCGTTCATTCGAAATAATTAGACCCTTACAAATAAAATTCGAAGAAAAGCAGCGGCTTACAAAGACCATAAATACCATCAAAAACACGTAAGTGAGGTTTCAGTGTATTTTAAAAAATTATTAAAACCTGAAAAACTTAAAAAAAATTTAGGGCCTTTTTCATAATCTTTATGATTTCTGAAAAAATCTTTAAAATTCCGTACTTTTTTCATGATTTCCAAATTGTGTATACGAACCCTGTTTTGAAAACATTTTTGAAATTTTATAAACAAATTTAGCTTTGATATTTTTCTGTTTATAATAAAAATCCCTTATTTGCATCTTTTTAACCTCAAAAGTTATATACAAACTTAAATTATATGATATTTTATAAGTATTGTCAATTAAGGTTACCATAAGAATAAATTTATTATTTTCCCTGATATTAAAGAATTTCATTGAATTTAATGATTTTAATAGAAATTTAATAATTTTAAGTTAGAAAAATTTTATTTCTGTTTTTACCAGAACAAGTAACGATTCCTTAATTAAGGAGGGTGGCGGGTCAACATATCCTCAAAAACCTGTCAAAACTAAAAAATTGTTTTTAATGCAAACAAAAATATAATAAATATTAATTTCAAACAATTTTAGAAGATCTAGATTTACTCCTTTCGAAAAAAATTATTTTTTTCCAAAATATTTTGTCAATAATTATTTTTTTTTTCTTTTAAATCAGTCAAAAATTGCAATTTTTAACCAATTTTTATAAACAAAAGCTCATTTTACTAAGTGAAACATTCTCTACAATTGTTACCTTTTTATATTGTAATAAGTATGTTCTTAAAAAGTTATTTAATAAATAAAATTTTAATTGTTGATAACTTTTTAAGAACATACTTATTATAATATAAAAAAGGTATCAGTTGTAGAGAATGTTTCACTGAGTAGAATGAGCTTTTGTTTATGAAAATTGGTTAAAAATTGCAATTTTTATCTGACTTAAAAGAAAAAAAATACCTGTTAAAAAAATAATTTTTTTCGAAAGGAGTAAATCTAGATCTCCTAAATTGTTTGACATTAATATTTATTATATTTTTGTTTGCGTTAAAAACAATTTTTTAGTTTGGACAGGTTTTTGAGGTTATGTTGACCCACCACCCTCCTTAATGAAATCGTGATGAATTTCAAACAGGAATGAGCATGAAAAATTGTATCATTTTCACATAACAATAGATAATGAAAATTACTCTTACTGTTTTTAGACTTTATTCGATTTCGAAATTCAGTATTCAATTAATTTTTAAAAAAGTCATTAACATTTTCAAAACATATTTTTTTTCATCTTTCTGATCCAAAAAGGAAAATTATATTTGGTACCTTTTGCTTTATTTTCTTTCGTGCATCCTTCTAATTGTTGTGTCTTCACATCAATAAAATCATAATAAGGATGAGGGCAGATATACTGACCCAATCGTAAGTTATTACAATCTATTTTGTACGTGTTATCAATTGCGTCAGTTAAAGAAACAAAAATAACTATAATTATACTATACAATTGTGTACTTAAAGTTATAGCCATTTATAGCCTACTTTCAAAAAGTCATAGCAAAAGAAAAAATTAATACTAATGAATTTTATCTTTTTCATCAAGAAATTCTGTTATAAAAACAAATGTGAAGGCGCTTGTATACCACACCAATCCCGTTTACTTGCGTCGTGTACAATTGGAGTAAAAGAAACGTAAATATCTTTTATCTCTTTTACTCCAATGGTACACGACAGAAGTGGTATCATCGGGATGGGTGAGGTATACAAGCGCCTTTAAGGCCTTTCTCCAATGGGTGCCTAAAGGCCTTTCTCCAATGGAACCTAAACTTTTGCGTTGCGTGACTGACGCGTTGATTTTAGCATTGGTTGCCAATAGCAACCGACGCAATGCATACGCAACGCAAGAGTTTAGGATCCTATTAAGGCCTTTCTCCAATAGGATCCTAAACTCTTGCGTTGCGTATGCATTGCGTCGGTTGCTATTGGCAACCAATGCTAAAATCAACGCGTCAGTCACGCAACGCAAAAGTTTAGGTTCCTATTGGAGAAAGGCCTTTGGAGAAAGGCCTTAAATGTTTGCGTGGCGTTACTGACGCGTTGGTTCGCAAGCACAGTGACGTCATCAAAGCATTGATACCAATAGCGAACAAAAAGTTTGGTTTCTGATTTTAAAGGTACGGTCACACGACTTTTGGAAAAACCATTCATGTCTTTCTCTCTCCTAAGACAGAGGCATAAGATTGTCTCACTCTGCATTTTCTTACATTTCCCAAAGACGGAAAATGCAGAGTGAGACAAACTTATGCGTCTGTAATAGGAGAGAGAAAGACAAGAATGGTTTTTCCAAAAGTCGTGTGACCGTACCCTAAGACACTGAATTTTTGAAATTGTAAATATTAAATAATTAAAATTATTAAAAGCTGTCGAGAAACATTTGCATTTAAAATTGTAAAGTTAGAAAACAGGGATAAGAGAAACATAAACCAAACTTTTTGTTCGCGATTGGCATCAATGCTTTGATGACGTCACTGCGCTTGCGAACCAACGCGACGTGTACGCAAGGCTTGTTCCTAGGGTCCCATTGGAGACGTTCCATAAAGGCGCATTCAGACCTCTCGGCTGCCTGCCTGCCTGCTGTAGTTACCATGGTAACATGATAAGAGTGAGTGAAGCAGAAAATTTAAATTTTTCGTCTGTTTCACTCACTCCCATTATGTTACCATGGCAACTGCAGCAGGCAGGCAGTCGAGAGGTCTGAATGCGCCTTAAAGCAGCGTCTACAATAGGCTAGTTGCAGAATGGAGCAAAACACAGACACCACGCATCGCAATGTTGAGCAAATGGGGCTGCGTTGCGTTTGCGTTTTGCTCCATTCTGGAACTAGCCCTAAGCAAATGGGGCTGCGTTGCGTTTGGCTCTATTCTGGAACCTACGGAAGCCTGTACGGCTCACGAGCGTCTCGGACGCAAGTGGCGGTGTTTCGTACCACAAGTAGCACGAAGTCCGTCCAACTTGTGGCAAGTTCGTTAGTTCGTGCCACTTGTGGAAAGTGGATTTTTTGAAGGGTCATTCACAAATATGACAATTCCGTTGGATCCTGTTGCTATCTATTTCGTCAGTGCTTTTCATTTCAAGTATAATTTCATCCGGGCAAGTCCGTTAATGTTTTTGAATAAAAATGAATTTGTTATTTTTTAATTGAAAATATATGTAAAAGATTACATTTCAGTGTAAACAAATGATATTGACATCTTTATTAATCTTAAATATTCATAAAAATATACTTTTGATTTAAAAAAATAAAATCCTCTTCATGTATTTTAAATTAAAAAATGACAACATAACCAAAAAATCTTATTTTTATTCTAAACTAAGAAAAATTAAAAAAATAAGAAAAAACTTCCGCTTAATTCTTAGTGGAATCCGTAGTTTATTAATATGTATATTTACATTTGGAAGGAGTATTTATGTGTGAACTATAAAAAGTTTGTTCGATGACATTTACTAATATGCTAATATTACTAATATCTTATAAAATTCATTTCTTCTTTTTCACATGAAATTGAAATGAAAAGCACTGACGAAATAGATAGCAACAGGATCCAACGGAATTGTCATATTTGTGAATGATCCTTCAAAAAATCCACTTTCCACAAGTAGAACGGAGTCTGTCCAACAAGTGGCACGAACTAACGAACTTGCCACAAGTTGGACGGACTTCGTGCCACTTGTGGTACGAAACACCGCCACTTGCGCCCGAGACGCTCGTGAGTCGACAGGCTTCCGTAGAAACCAACTTATGCTCATTTCATATTTAGCATACAGAACATCGATGTTTCAATGTTCCTAAGGTGCTTTTATACCTCAAATTTCGATCAGATGAACATTATTTCTGGACCGTGAAAATGCGTGAAAAGTCATTTTCACTGCGGGTATTTTTGAATTGTTTTAAACAAAAAATGTTTTTTTAAGAAATATGATATTAAATAATTGTTTTAATATGTAAGAACACTTTAAAATAGTTATAGAAAGATGATTTAATTGAAAAATTTAGCAAATTTTGCTTTAAAACGTTTTCTGCTACAAGAAAGTGTAAAATGACGATGTTTGTGAAATGGTTTGTACAGTTAAAAAGAACCGACATAACATAAACAATACTCTGAGAGACACTCACAAGGAAGAAGCACTGTACAAACCATTTCACAAACATCGTCATTTTACACTTTCTTGTAGCAGAAAACGTTTTAAAGCAAAATTTGCTAAATTTTTCAATTAAATCATCTTTCTATAACTATTTTAAAGTGTTCTTACATATTAAAACAATTATTTAATATCATATTTCTTAAAAAAACATTTTTTGTTTAAAACAATTCAAAAATACCCGCCGTGAAAATGACTTTTCACGCATTTTCACAGTCCAGAAATAATGTTCAACTGATCGAAATTTGAGGTATAGAAACACCTTTATCGTAAAGAACACAAAAGTTGCTTCGATGGTTCGACGGCTCGGTGGTTTGATAAATCCATTCATCTTTAAATTATAAGATGAAATTTGTTGTATTTAAATAATCTATTTGTGTAATAATTGCAATGAATTTTTTAATATTAATATAACAATAATTAATATTAAAGTAAATGAATAAATATAAATTTATATACAGGGTGTTCAAAAAGTTGCAAGTTTCCATACTTTTTAAACATCCTGTATATATTTAAACATAACCTTATATAAAAATGAATATATATCTCAAATTATTCAACGTAAGAAATATTTCAACTTATAATGATTTCTTAATGAGCAATGTCGAACCACCGAGCCATCGAACCAACTTGTGTGTTCTTTAAGGCCTAAGCAGAATAGATTCTTGAACGGAAACGTAAGAATGGGTGAGAGAAGAATAAAGATATTTGCTATCCTTCTTTTAAGGCCTTTCTCCAATAGGAACCTAAACTTTTGCGTTGCGTGACTGACGCGTTGATTTTAGCATTGGTTGCCAATAGCAACCGACGCAATGCATACGCAACGCAAGAGTTTAGGATCCTATTGGAGAAAGGCCTTAACACATTCTTACGTTTCCGTTTACGATTGCGTTCCCGTTCAAGAATCTATTCTGCTTAGGCCTTTACGACAAGATATTGAAACATCGATGTTCTGTATGCTATATATGAAACGAGGATAAGTTGGTTTCACCTCGTTACAAGGTGGCGCGTAGAAGCTTCCGTAAAAGCTTCCGAAAACTGAGCGAGCGGTCCGCTATTCCGTCACGCTTCCCATATTCAACTATATCAATATAAATAAAAAACGTAACGCAAATGCGGACCGCTCGCGCAGTTTTAGGCTGCACCTGGTCCCATGGCAGCGTTTTGCGTTGCGTTTTGTCACTAGACCATGAGTGTAAAAGAGATGCAGATATTGGGATCGGCTAAACTGCAATACGCCATCTGGTGGGGACCCATTCTCTCCCTCCATTTTCTTTCTTTGTCTCTCTTCAATTAATAGGTTAGAAAGAGTAGAAAAAACAAAATGGAGGGAGACAATGGGTCAAAGTTACTAGATTGTTACTAGACCACCGTTCCCAATATGTTTGCTATGTTTACACTCAGGGTCTAGTGACAAAACGCAACGCAAAACGCTGCCATGGGACTGCAGCCTTATATTGGTGCTCCAACCCTGCGTTCACATGTGTTTCTATAGTTTGAATAATTTTGAATTTAACAGTTGTTTACATTTTTGACAGTTAGTTATCAAGTAGACACAAAAAAATAAGGAAGAATTTTATAAATGATTGTTAAAAATGAGTAAGAAAAAAGAAGATGCAATTGAAAAGTTGTCTGATGCAATATGTGTAATACGAAAGTCTTTGACATGCAGTATTTGGTAAAAATATATTTTGTTTAATACTAAAATGTTTAAGTCAGTTGTCAATAATCAGAATGCGAGTATAATATCAATTTGCTCGTCTGTCGAAAAACATGAGTGAGAATGGCGGACAGTATTTTTTTCAATCCGGTATTTATGGAGGTTCAACTCTTTGATTAACCTCAAATTGAAAAGTTTTCAACAACAAACAAAACTTTTATTAAGTGAAATTGATTTCATAAAATTTTGAAAGATACAGCTATACAAATTGCAAAAAAAATTATTTTGATATAATATTTGTTGTTAAATAATACATATTTAACATTTTGTGTGTATTGTTAAAAAATGAAACTGAAGTTACCAACGTTGATTCAACGAAAAAAAAGTTAAGGATTCTAATTCTCAAAAAATGAAATTTGCTTATTTTCAACCCTCCAAAACGTGAAATAAAAAAACAGTATTTATCATTTGTTTGTCACGAATTTTCCCAAAATCCCAAAAATTCAAGTAAATTGCTATTTCCTAGCCTCGGAAGCAATTTTTCTCGCTTGATAATTATTTCAGGGATCACAGAGTGTCACCTATTCACCTTTATTCACCTATTTTGAAATTTAGTATCTATTTCACCTATTTCGATGATTTGTCACCTTTTTCACTTTTTTAGGGTTCCGTTCTCGCAGTGAACCGAAACGGAACCCTTATGATTTCATTCATGTCCGTCCACAAAATCCTGTCCCCCCCTCTAAAATCTAGCCATTTTAACCGATTGGGCTCAAACTTACAATTAGTATTAATACGTATTTTCGCGAGTAGATTAAAGGAAAATTATAGCGAACCCGATTGGAATCAATTTTATATAACTATAGTACAAAAACTCGAAATTTTGGAAAAAAGCGTGTCTCCCATTCACTTTTACAGTTTTGGAGCTCGGATGTTCAAATTTGGTATACATACGTAATTTTGCAAGTAGATTAAAGGAAAATTATAGTAAACCCGGTTGGAATTGAATTGATTATAGTTATATTCCAAAAACTCGAAATTTCTGAAAAAAGCGTGTTCCCCCCCATCTTAACTTAGCTAAGAAGCTGAAACTTGGTAGACATATTTAATTTCACGTACAGATTTTACGAAAAAAATAGCCAACCTCTTTAAAATATTATATTTAAATTTAAATAATCGTGAACGGAACCCTAGGTAAGCGAGAGTAACTCGTACTTGGCCAATTTTTTCAGTTGAAGGGTCAAGCGCCAATTTATCGAAAATGAGGTTTTTGCATAAAAAAATCAAGAAAATTCATTTACACATTTCTGTAGAAGGATTTCCTTTTTTATTGCGTATTTAAATCAGTTTTTAATAAAAATTAAATTAATAAAATAGCCTCAAATTTACTTTATTGCAACCTGATTGAAAAACAAAAGAAAGTGGTGAGTCAATAATATTATCAAAATAAAAAAAAATATTATTTTTTTAGGTTTTATTTTAATATTTTATTTTAATTTTATTTTAATAATATTTTAATTAATAAAATTAATAATAATAATAATGTATTTTCAATTTTAAACAATTTTAAAATCATTTTGTTATTAATTTTTAAATATTTTTATGGTTATACTAAGTGAACAATTGAATTTAAAGATGAAAGTATTGCTCAATTCCAAAGCAAGCAATTAATTCGTAATTTTCTTGAAAACCAACAATTTTTTAAAGGAATTTTTTTTTCTATTCATTTCGTCGATTCCATAGAAAGAAACTAATTTTCCAGTTTTTCATTAAACTGTATATTTTTTTTATAATTAATGTTTAAAGAAAATGTGCGCAGTTGATATAACCTTAAGGAACCACAGTTTTTTTTAATTTTATCGTTAATATGTAGGTTTATTTCAACAAATTGTTGTTTATTTATTAAAACATACTAATATATCGAAACGGTTTTCTCAGTTTTTTTTAAATGACCTGCAAAATTTTTGAAAATGTTTTTTTTACTTCCTGTAAAAACAGTGAATTGGCGCTTGACCCCTTTTGTCATTCTACCCTTCAGTTATTGAAGGAATTTTTTTTTATTATTTATAATTATTTTTTTGTGTTTAAATATTGCGCTTTTGCTTCGAATTGGAGAATAATACCAATCTCAGCCAATAAATTGCGCGATTGAACCATTTACAAGCCATACTTGGCCATTTGAGCATCGTAGCTCCAAAACTGTAAAAGTGAATGGGAGACACGCTTTTTTCCAAAATTTCGAGTTTTTGTATTATAGCTATATTAAATTCAATTCCAAAAAAAAAAAGAAAAGAAGTGGACAAGCTTCATAGCAGTATCAGAAAAAAAAATCTCTTATAATGGACAGTGCTGCAAAAAAAATGACTTCTTGAGAATGTTTTTCTCAGCTTCTACTTAAGTTTAAAAAAAGTTTTATTTTATATATTTTATAAATGTTGAATTTATAATTATGTTTTGATGCAGAATAATAAAAGTACTCTTTAGTAACAAATAAATTGTTAATAAACCTTAAATTACATGTTTATTCATCTTTAACAATAATTTTTTTGTCACCTATTTTTGAAAAAAATTGTACCTTTTCACCTTTTTTGATGACAAAAAGTACTGTGATCCCTGTTATTTATTTCAATGCTAGAAGCCTTTAAAAAAACAGAAAAATTGCTTCTTAATGGGAAAAAGCAATGATTTTGATTTTTTTGTCATGGATTTTTTTCAAAAATCCCGAAATTTCTGGTAATATGTTAGGGTAAATGTACTAATTACGGCGCGGTTCGAGTCAAAATACATTTGAAATAGAAAATTCGACATTTTTATTGTATAAAGTAAATTGAAGACTTATTAAACTAAAAGCTTATGTTATTTAGATATAAAAAAATGTAAACTTTATAAAAATCGATTATTTAAACAAATATGAGAAATTAAAACTAATACCGTAATTTCCTATTACGGCGCGTTTGTATCAGTTTCAGTGTATCAATTTCGGTGACCAAAATTACCTGTATTTTGAAGATACTTTGCCCGCCGTAATTGAAGCTGATGGAAATCTTAAAAATGTTTCAATTACGGCGAGGGAAAAAATTTGATCTCAAATAATTAAATTAATAATTAATTAAATGTGCATCTTTATAAGTAATTGTATCAAAAAAAGATTAAAATCATTTTGTAACAGTTATATTAAATATAATAGTAATAATAGTTACTTTTTATGAACGCGCCGTATTTGGTACACTTACCCTATTTCCTCGCCTCGGAAGCAATTTTTCGGGTTTGATAATTATTTGGTCCAATGCTAGAAGTCTATTAAAAAAAACAGAAAAATTGGTTCCAAGTCAGGGAAAGCAGTAATTTTGATTTTTTTGTCACAAATTTTCCAAAAATCTCGAAATTTCAAGTAAATTGCTATTTCCTTGCCTCAGACGCCTTTTAAAATCGCAATTGCAAAAGGTTCCAAGTCGGGCAAAGCAGTGATTTCAATTTTTGTCACGGATTTTACGAAAATTTCGAAATTTCAAAAAAATTCCTTATTTCCTGACTTGGAAGAAATTTTTTTGTTTTTTAAAAGGCCTCTAGCATTAAAATAAATAATTATCAAACGCGAAACATTGCTTCCGAGACGAGGAAATTGCATATTACTTGAAATTCCGGGATTTTCGGAAAATCCGTGACAAAACAATTATAAATATTGTTTTTTTATTTCAGGTTTTGGAGGGTTGAAAATAATCAAATTTCATTTTTTGAGAATTAGAATCCTTAACTTTTTTTTCGTTGAATAAACGTTATGGTAACTTCAGTTTCATGTTAAAACTTATTTAAGAATTATAATTTTTAAAATGAAAAATAGAATTCCCTTCCAAACGTGTAATTTGTAAAGTAGTAGAGTCGATCAACAGGAAGGTAAGAAACATAAAAGAACTGTATGTAATTTTTTATTAACAGTGAAATCATTACCTAAAGTATCATTTCAGAAATAGAACTTTTTTTATAATTTAGTTCACGATTGAGTATACTAACATTACTCCAAACAAATTCGTGTTTGAAGTTTAATTGATGTGCTTTCGTCGTGTGCTTTTGTTTTTTGCGTTTATTAATTTATTTTAACTTTTCTTTTATTTATAAAATTTTTTTAAACTTTGACTAGTAGGTCAGTCAATAAAGACAAAAAGTGCCACTAATTGCTTACATATTTTTCTAAACGGATATTTGTAGTTTAGGAGAGTAGTATGAAGGCCCCATAGTTTGCTCTCGATTTCCGGTTGCAGAAATTGTTATAAACAATGGTCAAAGTTAGTGAAAGGGGGTTTTTTGGCGCTCATTTCTTTCCTTTAAATTTTAGAGGAAAAAGTTGTTATTAAAAATACCTACAAAATGGTGGGTCGAATGTTAAAATCGGATTATTTGTTTAAAAGTTATTTAATTTAAACCATTAAAAATGGTACTTTTTTAATGAGACATTCCAGTTCAAAATGGGGATAAAGAAAGTTTTTTTTAGAATGTATTTCTAAAAAAACCATGACATTTATTCAGAAATTTTTGTTTACATATTATAAATAACTTATTGAAGAATATGAAGAAAAAAAAATTCCACTTGTAGTCCAAGATGGCGGCGATGTACATTTTCAAAATATGTTTATTTTTTCATGGGGGGATCGATTCCGAGATATCTACAACAGATAGAGACATAAAATAAAAAGCATTTTCTTCGTTAGATATTTCTCTATAGATGGAACCTCAAAAAACTGGAATTTTCGCCTTCTTCTTTTTTTTATGATAAATTTTTCTCAAAACTTGAAAAAACAAATGTTTTTATTCAAAATTTCTGTTGTAGAAAAAAAGGAAAAAGAAATTTTCCATTTTTTGAGATTCCATCCATAGAGAAATATCTAACAAAGAAAATGCTTTTTATTTTATGTCTCTATCTGTTGTAGAAATCTCGGAATCGATCCCCCCATGAAAAAATAAACATATTTTGAAAATGTACATCGCCGCCATCTTGGACTACAAGTGAAAAAAAATAATTT